GTAGAGTAGTACTTGTTGTTTGTCATTTCTCCGATCACAAATGCAGACATGGTTTTATGTTTACGCGGCGCGATGCAACGCACCGCGTAAAAAGACAGTATACGTCATTATAATCAGTAATTATGTTCCTACTGGATGCAACAAATGCCTCGTTTGTAATGGGTTTTAATGTTTTTGTCTCGTCGCGCCGGGACATACGGAAATACAGTATGGTAGGGGCGTAACATTTCCGTCACATGCTTGAGGTATTCGGCCAATCACAATGCACTGGATAGCTGGCCAATCACAGCACACCTCGCTTTTTCAGACCGATGAGCTTTGTAAAAATTGACGCGTTTCAGAAAGGCGGGGCATATAGGAGAAACAATAATGTACAGTATGTGGAAAATAATGTGTTTTTTTAACCTTAAACCACATAAACATTTCATTACACCAAATACACAAAATAATGTTCTTTTTAGCAACATCATATGACCCCTTTAAAAAACAATGTCACCACGTAGATCGTTAGCCGTTTTAAGCCTCATGAGACGCACAAAGGCAAGAAAACAGACAAAAGTACAAAAGAAAGAAAACAAGGAGCAAAGTATGTGAATATTTCTTTGAATTTCTTTTAAGTGTGGAGAGACTAGAATTAACTGTAATAATAATACCGTCTCCTCATCACTCCAGTTCACACGCTTTCCGTCTTTTGACATTTCTTACTTTTCTCTCACCGGCTGCTGTTTACATGACGCGCGTTTCCTGTTACTGACGTGACATGAGCCTCGGTGCTCAATTTCTGAATGGCTATCTGTTGCCAAACGTCCAGCAGCAACAAGCAAACACCACTCCGTTTCACACTGAACAAACTTAGCACCACAATGCGGGGTTAACACCGCAAATGCGGTGCTAACCCTGTTTCGAAGCAGGGTTTCATAACCCCGGGTAAAAAGCGGTGCTAACACTGCTGTCAAATTACAGGTGTGAAATGTTTCTTTTCCCGGGGTTGAAAGCTGTGTTTAGAACAACGATAACCTGAGGTTAAGTGCAGTGTGAAAAGCCTATCTTTGAATGGTACCAGAGTTATTTAGTTGGTCATCTGCACAGCCATCATTCTTATCTTTTCCAACCACTTACTAATTTAAGACTCCTTTAGCATGTTGCTGTGAATTGAATGAAGGAGAGCACTTGACCTTGCTGTCAACATTAATTAGGTTTGATGTGTCTGACACACTGTGTACACCTCAAATTAACATGTTACAGTCTGATATAACCTTTAGTCAGCCTTACACATCCCGACACAGCTTTGCACCGGCTCAATAAGAGCTGCCAGGTAATGAGTTACCCAGTTAGACACTGACAGCTGCTCCCATCTGACCGCAGCCGAGACGAGACGTGGGAACAGAGAGACATCCAAGAGGGTGACAAAAAGAGATGAGGTGCTCCGACTGAGAGGACGGTGAAAGGAGAACTTAAAAAAGTACAATTGTAGTTAAAACGTGTCTAGCGAGGAGAACAACACAATGTTTTTTTTTTGTGCCATTGAGCTGTTGCCTTCTTAGATTAAATTAACACGGCTGCGTTATAGCTTATTTATTTGAACGAGCGTTCGAGCTGACCCTTTTTAACCTTGCTGGAGTTTGATTAAATTAAATCAGCCATATAATTGTTCTTTTAAGCCTCCAACAACTTCAGGGGAGTGTGTTTGGAAAGTTCACCCAATTCCTGTAGTCAAAAAGAATCAATTGCCATTACAGCCAAAATATACTGCACAAACGTTTGTGTGTTGCGGTGATCCAGAAATAGGACAGAAAACAACCAGCATGAGGTCACTTAGGGGATCATGTTGTCGACAGAAGTTGAAACAGAAGTATTTCAGATTCTGGTGAAATCACACACATATTTTGAATGAGAAAATCCACAAATCTTTGGGAAAAACACTAGGACATATAAGGAAATATCATGTAATGCCCGATTCTTTTTTAATTTTCTTGCCATTTTGTAAATAAGTAATCATTAAAATAATTAATGGGCTTGAGCTTTTTTCTCAAAGTCTTGTATACTTCCTTAAGTTACAACATAAATTAACAGTAAAATGCCAACAACTTAGCAAAAATAAAGAGCCAGTAAAATGACAACAACTTGTATTACTTTTCACACAAATTATCATTACGAGGCAGGTTATTTGTGGAAAAAATGCTTATTTTTGCATGACTCCTTGCTCATTACTATGTTATGACCTCAAAATGCTTTTACCATAGTGCATGATTCATGAACTAATACATTTTGATATTTGCACCATATAACCAGATCCACATGTGACTTTTAAGATAGAGTAAACTTGCTTGGTAGCTCACCTGGTACAGCACTGCACTTGAGATGCAGTGTTCAGATACGAGTCCTGTGAAACAAAGAACACAAAGACTTGAGGTGCAAGTTAAAATTGCATGATTGCTTCAGTAAATGCTTTTATATGCCACAGTTGCTTTTGTTAACACCATCAGTTAATTGGCTTTTGATGTATGCTGTTTTACTCAGTGGGAATCTATACTAACGCCAGTACTAAGAGCAGTCTCTTCTTACTTGCTCAACTCATGTTACATAGAGTAATAAATGTAATTGTCTTTCAAAACTGTCAAGACAGTACAACAAACAATGTAATAAAAGATTCACATTCATCTGTTTTGGATAAAATTGAACATGCTTTTAGTGCCACTCACCGGACATTTCATTTACAAACTGAAAAGTTATCAGACCCTCTGTTATACTGTCAAAAGATTCGCAGTAAAAAAAAAGTTCACCGGAGCCCAAATTGAGTTAAATCCTCAATATTTAAATTAGAAAATAACACAGCGCAGTTGCTCGACAATCTAGTTAAATATGTGCAGACCACATACTGTTATGGTATAAATGATCAGAACACTATGTCTTCACTTAACAAGGCCTGTGTCTAATGGTTTTCATCAGAGCCAGACACAGCTCTTGAAATAACCCTCTCATGTTGAAAGAAAGGCTCACAGCTTTTTTCTCCTCTGTGTATCTCAGAGATCATTTTCACAGATAATGAGATTTGTTAACTTGGGAGATCAATAGAAAAGCTAGACCGTTTCCGCTTCTGCAGGCTAAGAGTTTTGACCTAAACAGTGAAACCTTAAAATAGACAATTTGTCATTAGGCACATAGGCTACTGTGTATATAACAGCAGCGACTTACGGTATTCTGAAATGATGGAGTCGAGTTTTCTGGGCTGTTTTCATGTTCCCTTTTCATTTGATGTTTTCACAGTTGTGGGGTTAATAAAACACTGTTTACCTTGAACTATTAACAAGCAACACATACTATAATGTTTTGTATGTTTATAGAAGAAAAAAAAAGTATTTTAACATTACAAATAAAAACCTCATTTTTATAAATTTATATGAAAAGCTGGGTTACACTTTATCTTAAGGTGTCCTTGTTACAGTGTAATTATACATTTAAGTACTGAGCAATATTAATTAACTACATGTACTTAATACGGTGGTGTGAAAAAGTTTTTGCCCCCTTCCTGATTTTTTTTTTTTTGCGTATTTGTCACACTTGAATGATTCAGATAATCAAACAAATTTTAATATTACACAAAGATAACCCGAGTAAATACAAAATGCAGTTTTGAAATAATGATTTGATTTATTAAGGGAAATAAGCGGTCCAAACCTGCCTGGCACTACGTGAAAAAGTAATTGCCCCCTAAATCTAATAACTGGTTGTGCCACCCTTTGCAGCAACAACTGCAATCAAGCGTTTGCGATAAATGGCAATGAGTCTTTCACAGGAATTTTGGCCCACTCTTCTTTGCAGAATTGTTTTCATTCAGCCACATTGGAGGGTTTTTGAGCATGAATGGACTGTTTAAGGTCATGCCACAGCATCTCAATCGGATTTAAGTCTGGACTTTGACTTGGCCATTCCAAAACCTTAATTTTGTTTTTCTTGAGCCATTCAAAGGTGGACTTGCTGGTGTGTTTTGGATCATTGTCCTGCTGCATAAACCAAGTGCGCTTGAGCTTGAGGTCACAAACTGACGGCCGGACATTCTCCTTCAGGATTTTCTGATAGAGAGCAGAATTCATGGTTCCATCAATTATGGCAAGTCATCCAGGTCCTGAAGCTGCAAAGCAGCCCCAGACCATCACACTACCACCACCATGTTTGACTGTTGGTATGATGTTCTTTTTATGAAATGCTGTGTTGGTTTTACGCCAGATGTAACGGGACACACACCTTCCAAAAAGTTCAACTTTTGTCTCATCAGTCCACAGAATATTTGCCCAAAAGTCTTGGGGATAAACAAGATATTTTTTGGCAAATGTGAGACAAGCCTTTGTGTTCTTTTTGGTCAGCAATGGCTTTTGCCTTGGAACTCTCCCATGGATGCCGTTTTTGCCCAGTCTCTTTCTTATTGTTGAATCATGAACACTGACCTTAATTGAGGCAAGTGAGGCCTGCAGTTCTTTAGATGTTGTTCTGGGTTCTTTTTTTGACCTCCTGGATGAGTCGTCGTTGCGCTGTTGGAGTAATTTTGGTAGGCTGGCCATTCCTGGGAAGGTTCACCACTGTTCCAAGCTTTCTCCATTTGTGGATAATGGCTCTAACCGTGGTTTGCTGGAGTCCCAAAGCCTTAGAAATGGCTTCATAACCCTTTCCAGGCTGATACATGTCAGCTATTTTGTTTCTCATCTGTTCTTGAATTTCTTTAGATCGCGGCATGATGTGTTGCTCTTTAAGCATGCTTCACTTTGTCAGACAGGTTCTATTTAAGTGATTTCTTGATTCAACAGGTCTGGCAGTAATCAGGCCTGCGTGTGGCTAGTGAAATTTAACTCAGCTTTCTAAAATAATGTGGTTAATCACAGTTCTTTCATGATTTAACAGGAGGGGGCAATTAATTTTTCACGTAGGGTCAGGTAGGTTTGGACAGCTTTTTTCTCTTAATAAATGAAATCATCATTTAAAAAACTGCATTTTGTATTTACTTGCATTATCTTTGTGTAATATTAAAATTTGATTGATGATTTGAATCTTTTAAGTGTGGTAAATGTATATGGTTAGGGTTAGGATTAGGGTTTGGCTTAGGGTTACTTGCATGTAATTATGCATAATTTATTGTGATTATAATAGTAAGTACATGTAACGTGTAACAATGACACCTGAAAGTTGCACTGGAACAGTATTTCTAATATGCTATACATTATTTTGCATTTTTAAAAAAAAGGATTGCTTAGTACAACTGAAACAGTATTTATAATATGCTATACATTATTTTGCATTTAAAAAAGGATTGCTTAGTACAAAGTAGATATTTTATATAATTTTAATTTTTTGTTGACTATTTATCATTTTAAAATCTTTATATCAAGCTGACTGTTTTTCTCATGCAATATAAGTGTGTCTGAAATTGCATAACTGCTTTCACATTTTAGGAAGGTTTGCCTTGCAAGTGCATCCTGGTTTTCAGGGGTCCTTGGCATCAAAAAGTTTGAAAATACCCGCTTTATACATTACTCATGCAAGTCTTATATTTTTGGGATTTATTTTGTTTTTGCACTGTCAATTATTGCCTCGCCTGAAATTTTGGCACTGCCTTCCTTGTCTAGAGAAAATACAATCTGAAAACCAATAAGAATATGCTATTATTTTTTTATCTCAAAAGCTACACACCACTCAAAAGTGGATAGAAAATACATTCAAATATACAGAAAACATTTAGTGGTACTTTTTGACAGAACACAAACATAGAGCGGTTGACGGTTGACTGGAAACTTCTGAACTGATAAGGATTTTGTTTAAGATTTATAAATAATAGGCCACGGAAACACTGGGTGTAAAAGTACAATACTTACAGACTTACATCTGTTTTAAATAAAATTTTTATTAATAATTTAATAGCGTCTAGACAGATATAATTATTTCATTGCAATGTCAAAAACATGAATCATCAAGACAACTGCTGTAGGAGGAACGTTACAACTTTAGCGTACTTCACACTGCGCGTGGAGCTGCATTTCAAAACCTCGCTTCACGGCTGTAAAGTTTTAATAGTACAGTGACTTAACACTGAAATATTTACTGAAACACTGAAATATTTAGAAGGGCCTTACCTTTGTAATGTTTTGGACATTGGTGGTAGTACTCTTTCTGTAGGTTCTTCTGAGTGTTTCTCTGGATCATCAAAGCACCGCTGCAAAATCACTGGAGCTGCAACGTCAAATACATCTCTTTCTAATGAGGTTTATATAATATGAGTCATGTTTAAGAGTACACAGACACAAAGCAGACTGGCTAAATACTTTACGCAAGAATGAAATCCCAGATAAAAGTAATTGTGGTCCAGTAAACCTTTGCTTGCTTCGCATATAAGTTTAATATCCAATACAGACACATGAAAGGCCATTTAGGCTTGTACGGCAGCACTTGCCTGTTTGTCTTAATTGGTTAAATTATCCAGTCCAAAATGGTTCAAATCAAGTAAACCGAACATAAAGAGACAAATCACATATCATCAATAAGCTGCTTTCTGACTTAACATCAAACCAGCTGAATTCTGGAAAATGAGGAAATTAGACTTTGTGAAGAAAAAAAAAACTGTATTGAAACTTTAGCCACATCAAAGATCAACATTGTATATACATCAAATTTTGTGCCACATGAGCAGAAAATTGTAAATGTTTTATGATGTTTTGTGTGGTTATATGTGTTCAAACAAGATCTCTTTGTGCCACTGAAATAGGTTAATTAACATTAGTAAAGAAATGTTTTGACATGATTGATTCTGTACAGTAACTGTGAATGACAAATTACTTAATAAAATCACAAGATAATTAAGTTATTCCAATCTGTTTCATGTAATTTTAAGTATTTTTATGGCTAAAGCTCAACAGCAGTCAGTAGAATTTATAATGTTTAACAATGTCTTTAATATATTTTTTGTACCTAAGAAAATGATAGGTGTATATATAAAAGTATTTAATGAGCACAGAAGCAAAAGTAATTGGAAAAACTCAAATCCAATCCAACAAATTAAAACAGAGTTACGTAAACTTGATGCTTTGTTAAAAGTAAATTAAATTGAAAACCATCTGGAAAACAAACTCATTTAAAACCAAAAAGATAAAAAAAGACAATCTTCACCTTTCTGCTTATTGGAAGGAACACAGAAGTGTGATCGTACAAGAGCTGCTAACAGATGGCATGAGTCATCGGGGCCAGAACCCTCCAGCGGAGCCACTTGAGGAGCAGCAGTTCACTAACACAAGGGAGTAACACCTCAGGAGGAGCACTGCAGATGGACTGAAGGCTGAACTCAGCACTATACATACCTGTCTCACTAAAAAAGAAAAAAAAAAATTCCCCCCAAGTGAAATCTCCATTTGTATTTAATCAGGTAATTTTCTTTTTTTGCTCACAGATGGTGCTTGTCTCTGATTAAACAGTTTGCAGTTTTTAAACTGTCAGATAACTTTGAAAGTAAAACTGCATCTATATAAATGTATCTGTCTATGGATACGTGCATACATAGTACTGAAGGCATCATGCTGTTGCGCGACCTCTAGGAGTTCTTAATTCATTGTTATGGAGGCAACATGAAACCGCTTTCTCCTGTGGTGTGGTCAACGTCAAGGTCATTTTACAGTTCAGCCCTCACTACCACTTTCTCTGAAAGGTTTTACACAACAACAAGCCATTAACCTGATCTGACTTTAGACATTCTCTATTTGTTTGTTTAGAATACCTAGGCAGTATTAAGTAAATTAATATTTCTACTATTCTTTTGAATCTTTTTTTTATGTATTTCTGTGGATAATTTTGGCAATGTTCACTCCAAAACTGAGATGGGTAAGTTCAGATCATTGAGGCCTACAATCAGTCAGGTCCAAAAAAATACAAAACATGTCCAAACTAAAAGAAAACACGTTAAAGATAAAAAAGATCAAATCCAATATTTGGTAATAAAATAGCATAACGAAAAATTTGTAAACTATTTTTATGAAGGCCAATCATTTTTGACAAGGAACACCACAAGTGGAAAAAACAGGTGGGGGAGAAAAAAAGTACAAAACTTGTCAAAAAATGTTTTTGGTAGTTGGTATACCCTGTGTGAGCAAAGTCAATAGATTTTTGTCCATTACATTAGCATTTTTGGGAAAAAGAAAATTCAGCATGAGGGTCAATGAATATTATGGTTATATGAATTTGGGATGTGCGATATATATCGTCTATGATAATATCGTAATTGTTGTTTAAACTATATGCAATTTGACATTATCAAGTATATCGCAAAAACACACCCGGAGGGCACACGCTACATGATGTATGTTGGACAGTACATTTTGAGTTCACGCTTTCACTGTGATTTAGTCTATTAAAACACATTTAGAATTCCCCCAAAAAGCAAGATAAGTGGGCAAAAATGCCTCTGTATGACTTTTATGTGTCTTTTATATTTATATCATCTGATAAGTGACTTACATTTTAGACACAACAGTTCTTGTTTTTGTTGTTGTTTTTCCTCTTTTTTCCCCAAATGATTTCAAAAATCAACATTCAACGTTTTGTTAAACATCAAAACATTATTTATGCATTTGTAACTGCAGGTTAACTGCATTCATGTCCTGCATTAAACGGTCTCTGTAAATGCATCTAAATTCCACTTCAGATGTAGATTCTGTGCCACCCCTGCATTGTAAACACAAATTTAGTTGATACTGATTTTATTTGATTGGTAGCAGCCCATGTTTCCCCTGCCATATTAGGGTGAGGCCCCTTGAAGGTCAAGTTAATTTTATATAATTTTATTTTCTATATAGTGCCAGATCGCAACAGAAATCATTTAAGGTTACCTTTCCTACAGAACATGTCTATACCTTGTTCTTTGATTAAACAAACTTAACCTTATGTTATTTATCTTATTTACACGACGGCATGTCATTTCTGTCTCTACATGGTCTTGCATTTACAATTACACTCTGCTCTCTGTATCAACACAGAGAAGGAAATCTTCTACCAGCAATGGCAAGACCTACTGAATAAAGTGCCACGTCATGACATTCTATTGGTCATGGGAGACCTCAACGCACAGGTTGGTGAAGATCGATCCGGCATTGAAGAGGTCCTGGGCCCACATGGGTATGGCAAGCGTACAGACAACGGTGATCGGTTGGTGCAGTTCTGTGCCATGAACAAAGTGAAGGTCGGTTCGACATTATTCAAACATAAAGACATACACAAGATAACGTGGACATCTAATGACCACAAAACCCAGACTCAGATTGACCACATTGCTATTGGCCCAAGATGGCGAACACTCTGCTTGCAAGACGTCTGTGTCTACCACGGAGCCGATATCTGCAGTGACCATCATTTGGCCATAGCAAAGTTCAAAGTCAAGCTGAAGTGGAAAAAGAAAGACTCCAAGCCCCAGCGGTACGACACAAGCAACTAAATGATGCAGTAACAGGTGCCCAGTTCCAGTTGTTCCTAAGCAACAGATTCTCAGCACTGACTGATCCGGTGCCGGGATCGTTGGATTGGTGGGACCAGCTAAAAGATGCCATGTCAGCTGCCGTGGAAGAGATCCTTGGCCACGAGAAGTCTCTCAAGGAGACCTGAATCAGTGACCGGATCTGGGAGCTGATAGCAGAGAGGAAAGCAATACATCAGAGAAGGTTTAGTCCATCTAATGGCGAGGATGCCAACCAGGAATACATCAAGATGGACAAGGCAGTAAAAAGCAGTGCACAGAGGGACAAGCGAGAGTGACTGGACAGACAAGCTGAGGAAGCCCAAGAAGCAGCTAGTCGTAATGACATGCGCACGGTCTACCAGATCGCCAAGAAGATCTGTGGCACGGTGAAAACAGGGTCAGGACCAGTGAAAGCAAAGAAAGGACAAGTTGGCGAGGTGGACTGAACACTTCAAAGAGGTCCTTAATAGACTGGAACCAGCATGCCCTGTCACTGTGGAAGACCCACTTCAGGTACTTCCCATCGATACATCTGACTTCTCAGAGGATGAAATACGCAAGGCCATCTCCAGTCTCAAGAACAACAAGTCTCCAGGGCACGACGGCATAACAGCCGAGATGCTGAAGGCTGGCGGTGAGAGTGTGATCACCTGGATGTGCAGTCTGTTCAACCAGGTGTGGAACTCAGGCGTCGTACCAGAGGATTGGAAGAATGGTGAGGTGGTGTGCATTCCGAAGAAAGGCAACCTGGTGGAGTGTGATAACTGGAGGGGGGTCACTCTGCTCTCAATTCCTGGAAAAGTCTATTGCAGGGTCATCCTCAATAGAATACGAGACAATGTAGACTCTGAGCTGCGTGAAAAACAGGCAGGTTTCCGGCCAAAACGCTCTTGCACGGAACAAATTTTCACGCTGCGGAGAATTGTTGAGAAGTGTGGAGAACTCCAGGTACCTCTTGCAGTCAGCTTCATCGACTTCTCCAAAGCGTTCGATAGCGTGCACAGGCCATCACTCTGGAAGATTCTGCTTGCCTACGGCATTCCATCAAAAGTCGTAGGGGCCATTGAACAGATCTACAACACCTCCAAATGCAGAGTGAGGACTGAAGATGGATATAGTGACTGGTTTGAGGTGGTGACCGGTGTAAGGCAAGGATGTATCCTGTCCCCGATACTGTTCGCGATCGCCATTGATTGGGTGATGAGGAATGCAACAACTGGCAAGGGGATAGAATGGCTGGAGGGACAAAATCTGTCAGACCTAGACTTTGCTGATGATAGCTGCATTAGCAAACAACACTCAGGATCTACAGATACTTGTGGACAACATCAGCAGTTATGCTAACAACATCGGCCTGACCATCAATGGAAAGAAGACCAAGAACATGCTACAAGGCGACCACCCAATCCCAAGAGAGGTCTTCATAGACAACAACAGGGTAGAAGAGGTAGATAATTTTACCTATCTTGGCAGCTCCCCGCGGACATCGATCAGGAACTTAATTGCCGCATAGGAAAAGCTGCAGCAGCCTTTAATCAGCTGAAGAAAATATGGCAAAGCAGGAAAATCACGCTCAAAAACAAGTTACGCTTTTATAAGTTCAATGTGCTGTCCACAGTCCTTTACAGCAGCGAAACTTGGCAGTTAAAGACTTCCCAAGAGACAAAATTGGGTGCTTTTGAAACCAAATGCTTAAGGAAAATCTTTGGAATCAAATGGAATGACTTCGTGAAAAATCAAGAAGTCAGGCCTTTCACCGGTATCAGATACAATCTGCAAACGGCGCCTTCAGTGGCTAGGTCATGCACTGTGATTCCCCTCCCACAGACTGGCTCGCCAAGTATTAGACTGGATGCCAGCAGGCCAGAGAAAAAAAGAACGACCCAAGATGAACTGGCGACAGACCGTGGAGAAGGACCTCGCAATTGTCAACCGGCGATGGAGTGAGACCAGACGGCTGGCAAAAAAACCACACCCGCTGGAATGCTTTGGTTGACTCATGCGTCACAGGACGCGGGAGCTTCTAGGTCTAGGTCTCTGTATCGCGCACGGCAGAGTTCCGCACCGTTGTGCGCACACACACACACACACATGCGCGCGCACACAGGTAGGGCCCTATGATTTCCGCGATGCGGAAAACTCGGACGGAATCACAGAATCCAGTCATAAAAGCGGAATTTGCTGTATAACGTGGTATGTCATGGAATTTGTCAAACTTTAAATGAATTAATCAAAAGTAATCACTTGAATATGGACTAGTAAATATTAAGCCACAAAAAGACTATTTACACATGAATCCTGCATGTTCTGCGTGTCTCTGTGTTAATGAATGGCGCAGACGCGTGGTTTTGTTTACTACACACATACTGAAGCGCGTGAAGCTCGCAGTGATTTTAGCGTCTGTCGTCTCTCGTCGTCTTAGACTGTCCGTCTGTCAGACATCCAGTTTTTGCTCATAATTCAGTGTTGTGAGACACATCAGATAATGTGCAGAAGGGCAGGACAAGCACACAATGCATTCACTTACATAACACCCTCATTATAGCCTATATATACACTATATCAGCTTTAATTATGGGATGTGCAAATATGCATAACACCCACTCCCTCAAGCCTCTTATTTTAATGAATTACAAAATTTCATTGATTCTACATCTAAATAAATGCCTATACAGCTAAATGATCACAGACTCATAAAGGCACTAATAACATCATTACAGGTGCAGAGCACATTCTAGCTAATGGACAAGCCAATGGCTAGAAAATCAAGGTTAAAG